CCGCCCCGCAGCTCCGCCCCGCCCGGCTCCGTCCGCCACCACCCCGGCCGCACGCCACCGCCGCTCCACCACTCTCACCGCTCTCCGATGGTGCCGAAGAAGACGCCGAAGGGCAAGTCGGGCTTCTTCGGCGTGAGGCAGAAGCCCTCCGGTAACTTCGGAGTGGAGTTCTCCGACGTCGGAAGGCGTTGGTGGATCGGCACGTACCCCTCCGCCCACGAGGCCGTGCGTGCCTACGACGTGGTGGTGTGGCGTGCCGAGAGGCCTCGAGAGCACCTCAACTTCCCAGAGATCGAGAGTCGGGCGGAAGCGGAGATGCTTGTGCCGCAGGGCATCAAGATGAAGGAGATCCCGACGAAGAAGAAGAAGAAGAAGAAGAAGCCGTCAGTTGTCGTCAGTGCCGGTGAGACCTACGAGGAGGCGATGGCGAGGTTTGCTCGGGAGCATCCGGAGTACGTCTAGACTGAGCTGGAGTACTACTGGAAGCGTGAGGCGGAGCAGAAGAAGAAGGGGCGAAGAAGGAGGACGAGGCCGGTCCCTCGACGGTGATCCCCATCGAGTCCTCTTCCGAGGAGGGCTGGGCAAACTTCTCGGAAGGGGAGGAGGAGGGGTGCGACGACCCGGAGAAGGAGGAGTTCTTAGGTGCAGTTCCGCAGCTCCGACGATGAGGAGTAGTTTATCTAGTAGTTTGAATAAGTAGTAGTTGAAGTTCATGTATGAAACTATGTTGAATTTGATGTTTGAACTATGTTGAATGCACTAGTAGTTTGTCATTTTAAGAAATTTACATCTTCATTTTGAATCATCCATTGGAGTTGTTGTTTTGGACCATCCATTTGGACCATCTGTTGGAGTTGAGTTTTTTCGGAGCTTCAAAACGCACTTTTTGACGGTTCAAATTTTACATCTCCAGTTTTAGACCACCAAATTTTGAACAATCTATCGAAGATGCTCTTAACTAATTCAAAGCTTAGTACATGAAGTACACCCCTAGCAATCATACGCCCAAACTTATCTAATTCAAAACAGACCGGCCTTGCTATATCATGGGATAGAAGGCGTGATCCACACCGGCCGGGCCGATAACCTACGGTAGTGGTGCCCGAGCGCCTTCATCTTCTTTACCGTGCCATCCTAGAGGCAGTACATCTCGACGGCCCGAGCGTCAGACTCGTCAGCCCATAAGTCCTTGGGCTCGCTAAGCGCGGCGACCCTCGGTTTTGACCCTAAGAACAGCATATCCCGAAGAGAAAAGGAGAGAACACATTGTATAGTTCTCAGCCTTCTTACCTGTTGCTAGGAAGATTCTTAACAGGGAGTCTCTCTTTTACTTTGGTGGTAAATCAATGCAAACATTGTTGGAGGTAGCTCAGTTTTACTGTAGCATTTTGGCAAAATGATTTTGCGCATGAATAGCTAAAAAATGGTGCACGTACGCATCTGCGATGTTTGTAAAATTGTACCCTGCTAGCGATCATACGCGAAAACTTAGCTAATTCGAAACAGATCGACCTTGCTATATCATGAAATAGAAGGCGTGATCCACACCGGTGGTGCCGACAATGTACGGTAGTGATGCCCGAGGGCCTCCATCTTCTTTACTGTGCCATCCTTGAGGCGGTACACCCCAACGGCCCGAGCGTCGGACTCGTCAGCCCATAAGTCCATGGGCTTGCCAAGTGCGGCGGCGACCCTCGGTTCGTCGTCAGTGAAGTAGATGCAGCCAGCCTTGATATCTGAGCGCTCACTTGTTGGCACGCACAACGAGTTGTTCACCCCGACGAACAACGCGAGGTTGCCAATGTCCCTCGTCTCCTTCCACTGCCCGTCATCACCGATGACATGCACCTTGAAGGAGCACGTCCACCTATACCGGCCGTACAGATCCTTGCCCTTGGTCATCTGGGCGTACTTGAGCACCACCATCAACCGCCCACCCGGCGCCATCGCCAGGTACTTGCGATGGCACGGCGAGCCGCCTTCCTCAATGGCCAGCCTTGGCGTGACAGCCGTGCTCGTGTAACCGCCAGACTCAGTGTCACGTTTGCCACACCTCCACCATGCCGGAATAGGAGACGGAGAGGAACCAACCGTTGTGGTGGATAGCGTCCTCCACGCCGTCGAGCGACGGCGCCAGCATCCAGGCAGCGTCCTCCGCCGTGGCTAAGGCCGGGGCGCCGAAATCCAGGTCCAGGATCAGCATGGCCGTACCATAGCTGCCTGGGCGACGCGGGGAGGCCGGCAAGAGGACAACCTTCCGGTAGAACGGCGTACGCATTTCGTCGGCGGTCAACACGTGCGCCCCGTACACCAGACGCCTCGATGAATCACTAATGAACGACGGCCCTAAGCCGAATCGAATGGCCATGAAGCGCCATATGTCCACCATGAACCCCTCGTAGGGCGTGCGGAGGAAGACGCCCATGGTGGTGATGTCCGGGAGCGCGTGCTGCTCGCCGGTGGCGGGGTTGACGAGATAGATCTGGCCTCGGTCGTCGGCCGTGGCGAGCCATCCACGGGAGGAGCCGAGGACGATGTGGTCGTCGCGCAGCGCAGGGTACGGCGCACGCACCGTGGCTGTGCGCCGATCGGCGACGGAGAAGAGCGTAGCGGCCGCCGGGTTCTCCTCGTTCTTGCCGGGGAGGAGGAGCCACGGGGCCGACGGCTTGAATACGTCGTCGTCGTCGCAGGATGCGGCGAAGGCAATGCGGTCGAGGAATCCCAGGCGATCGTGGATGTCCGCCAGCAGCTCCGGCAGGAGGCTGGGCCAGTGTCTTGGAACGTCGGCATCGACCTTGGCGGCGATCGGTTTCCTAGCGGGGGCGGCCTTCTTTCGCCTGGCGGCGGCGCCCTTGCTTCTGCCCATTGGCACGTACTCCTACTCCTACAGATCGATTGGAGGTGGGGACTGATTTGCTTTTAATGAAAAAAAGAAATAAAATACACCTCCGACGAACAATGGTAGAGCCACGGGCTTTTTTTCACAGGACTTCATCGGGGGAGGGAATGGGCCAGGGCCTCCCGGTGAGATTAGCCCAACTCCAACACGCCGAAATTAATTTTCAGAAATATTACATCAAAATTATTTTTCAAAAATAATACATTTTTTAGGGGGAACCAGACACTTTATTGAACAATAAGAGAGTTCAGAGGGATACAAGATGGATCATGAGGGGATAGAAGCCACATGTGGCGCCCCTGATCAAGTGTAAGAGTGTCTGGCAAGGCAAAGCGCCTCACTAATAGCTGATCTACTTTCAGAAATAAAGCTATAGCTATCAAAAATAGAACTTGTGAGAAATTTCTTTGATCACCGACAGGTAACCTCCTCCAGTTCCTCTTTGGATATCTGATATCAATCCTTTGCAGTCCGAAGCCACCACCACCTTCTGCACGTGTAAGCCTTGAGCTAAGGCCAACGCTTCCCGGCATGCCACTGCTTCCAGTATACTTAGATCAACATTACTGGAGATGACCAACGCGGAGGAGCCCAAATAATGTCCCAAATGATCTCGGCAAACTGCAGCTGCCGCCCCTTTCCCTAGCTCCTGGTCAATACATCCCTTCACCTGGATTTTCGCGTGACCCTTAGGCGGAGGTTGCCATACACCACTCGGGATAGCGGTACGCCTTGTGCTGGGTGACGATGCAGTTTTTGACAATACTTCTATACTCTTGAGCTCCTAGATAAAACGTGAACGAATCCATGCGTTGCTAGCGGGCTCTGATAAACTTCCTCATGAATGGCCTTCCTCCTCGCCGTCCAAACTGCCCAAAGTGTCACGGATGCTTCCACGAACTGGGCATGTGATAATGACTTCTAAATCTGGAATAGCCACTGTTTGGCATTCGGTTCCACTGTTTCCATCATGGTTTCGACCAAGGTTTCATCTGCTAGTGCCCATACGCACTGTGCCATTGAGCATTCAATCAAAGAGTGTCTCCACGAATCAATGTTACCACATAAGTGGAAGTTGTCCACAATACTCATGTTTCTGTGTTGCCGCACGTCCTCTGTTGGCAGAGATTGCCTAGCAAGCCTCCACAAGAACGATTTGATTTTCGACGACACTTTTGTCTGCCATAATGAGGACCACCCCTTCTCATCCAGAGTATTATCCGATGTTGATGCTCTTCCACTCAGCAGATCTTCTCCCCTTCTCTTCATTTCCCATAGCATCCGATATGTTGATCTTACCGAAAAAACTCCCCTCGTCTTGAACTGCCAAGATCAAAAATCTGCCATTAACCGTGTGCACAAAGGAATATTTTGGATTGCTTTCACATCGGCCGGGAGGAAAAACTGGGATAAAACTTCAGCTCTCCAGGACACTAAAACTGGGTCAACTAGCTCCGCCACCACAGAAGGTGGGTTTTGGCCTATGCAAGCAATTGGCCTCATCGGATGATCACGCGGGATCCAGTTCTGCGACCATATCTGTGTGGTAGTACCATCACCAATCCTCTTAATCAAGCCCATGGACAAAGCATCTCTTCCCTCCACCAGTGATCGCCATACTTGACTCGGATGAGGCCCCAAGACCGCATTTAAGATGTCGCCTTCTGGGAAGTAGATAGCTTTCAGAAGTTGAGCACACACTGAGTCAGGAACTGTTAAGATCCTCCAAGCTTGGCGTGCCAATAATGCTAGGTTGAATAACTCAAGGTCTTTAAAACCTAAACCTCTGCATCTCTTCGGTTGTGTCATGGCCTTCCACGATACCCAATGGGGTTTCCGCTGCCCCTCCTTGCTGCCCCAGAAAAATTGTCTAATGAGTTTATTTAGATGTTCACATAAACCCTGTGGCAGTTTGAAACAAGACATGGAGAAAAACGGAACCGCTTGGGCCACTGACTTGATCAAAATCTCCTTGCCCGCAGCAAAGATCGCTTTCTCAATCCAACCTTTCACTTTGCTCCAAAGTCTATCCTTTAGATATTTGAAAGCCCATGTTTTCTATGTTCCTATATCATACGGCAGCCCCAAGTATTTCTCATTTAAAGTTTCTGTATGTACCCTAAGGATGCCTTTTACCTCTTCTCTAACCACCTCCGAACACCCTTTACTGAAGAAAACAGATGACTTACTATTGTTGATCCTTTGCCCTGACGTAAACCCGGGCATGGGCAGCCCGGCCCGACGACCCGGCCCGAGCCCGGCCCGAAAAACCCGGGCCGGGCCGGGCCGGGCTTGACGTTCGGGCCGGGCTCGGGCCTAGTTTTGCAGCCCGGAAGATAGTTCGGGCCGGGCTCGGGCTTCATTTTTTATGTATTTCGGGCCGGGCTTTCGGACTTCGGGCCGGGCTTGCACGTGCGTACACTAAAAAACAGCGTTCGGGCCGGGCTTTCGGGCTTCGGGCTTGACTTCGGGCCGGGCTCGGGCTTGAAAACAGGGAGTATTTCGGGCTTCGGGCCGGGCTCGGGCTTGGGAAATGAAGGTCGGGCTTTTATAAGCCCGGCCCGAAACCCGGCCCGGCCCGACGTTTGCCCGGGTTTACCCTGACGCTTGGCAATATGAATTCAGTAAGTTTGACACCTTTGTCGCCCCCGCACCGTTCGCCTTGAAGAACAGCAGACTATCATCAGCAAATAAAGAGATGGTTAACTGGAGGCGCCGAGGGGGCCACCTGGATTCCACCAACATGCGATGACTGATATCTAGATTTGAGGAGGCCTGAAAGGCCCTCTGCTGCTAACAAGAAAAGGTAGGGTGATATTGGGTCTCCCTGCCGAATACCTCTCGTAGGTTTAAATTCCTCCAACTTTCTCCCATTGAAAATGACTGGAAAAGAAACTGATCTTACCATTCCCATAATTCTATTGACCCAAACTGTTGAGAAGCCCAGTTTGAGCATTACCGCTTCCAAATATTCCCATTCAACTCTATCATATGCCTTCATCATGTCTAATTTCAAAGCACAATGACGATGTTTCAGAGCCTTGTTTCTTTTCATAAAGTGCAGACATTCATATGCCATGATGATATTGTTTGTAATGAGCCTACCAGGGACAAAGGCCGATTGCTCCGGTGATATTATCTCTGGCAATATCTCCTTGAGGCGGTTAGTAATGACTTTTGAAGCAATCTTATATAGAACATTACAAAGACTTATCGGACGAAATTGAGATAAAGATGTCGGGCTCTTCACCTTTGGTATAAGAACTAGACATGTCTTATTGATGCACTCGTCACTTTCTACTCCCTCCACAATTCGGATAACAGTTTTGGTAACTTCCTCACCACAAACATCCTAGTGCTTCTGAAAAAAATGAGCTGTGTACCCATCCGGACCAGGTGCTTTGGATGGAAACATTTGAAAAAGAGCCCTTTTGACTTCCTCCCCCGTATAAGATGCATTTAGGGTTTCATTCAAAAATAATACATAGTCGTCCATATCCTTTTGAGTCTAAACGGACAGAAAACACGGCCTAGCGAGCCAACACAATGGGATGGCTGTCCGTTTTCTTGTCCTATTAGACATATTTTTGGCCCAAATTTAAGACTGATTTACACCAGTGCAGAGGGAGCTCCTATACGCCGCCCGTGTGCGTCCGATCATTGCGACTTCGCTGAAGCGACGAGCACACAGGCAGGCCCAATCATGCCATGTGAGTGAAAATCGAAAAAGGAAGAAGCGCATGCGCGGGATCGAACCTCCGACCTCATGCAAGAATCCAGTGAGGCTAGCCAGCCGAACTAGCTACCTCGACTCTTTTAGATGCATCGCCAATCTTAAGCGGCAAATCCTTAAAAAAGGATGTTCAACAGATTTATAATATGCGTTGAAGAAATTTTAAAATATAGTGAACGTTTTTATAAAAAAATAGTGAACAAATATAAAATACTAAAATGGACATTTTATCGGTATATGTTGAACAATTTTTTAATATATGATGAACAAAACTTAAATACACAATGAACATTTTCTAATATACATTGAAAAAAT